TACAGAAAAGGCTGCAAGCATTGGACTCAAGTGTGGCAACAGTAGTGAGGTTGGCCCAGAATTGGGCAGTGTTTCGTTCTGCTGTGCATAAGGTCACTATGAGTCGGTACCAACTCGATGGCACCTAACGAACAACAGAGAACGATCTGAGATCAAAGTGTTCACGGCAACCCTACGCGTAGTTGAGAAGCTTAGGTGGCAGTGGGGTACAGTCACTGGTGGTGGAACCGGGAGGAGGGTGACACAATGTGAAGATCAGAGTCTGTGTTAAAGACTGTACTTGTAGTAATTGCTGCACATGTAGCACTTGTTATACACGTAGTAATTGTTGAATAGGTGTATGCTCTGCTGTACACTATTTTCACCATAATTAAAAAGAACTACTTGAATAAGTAAGTAAAAGGACCTAATTCATATCTAGGGAGTAAGAGGAGACCACAGGACTCACACTTCTAGCACACTAATTAATTAATAAAACAACTAAATGATTTTCTTCATCTAAAAACAACTTGTTAAAAGGAACTCCAACTATTCATTGAAAATTTAAATATATTTGATATCTCTTGAAACTATGCTTTCGTGGAAAACTTGCTCACAATTTTCAGGGTATAAAAATAGTCAACCACGTGTCTAACTTTGGAAAGGATGCAGTCTTTGTCTGAATTTGTGAATGAGGTAGTATAAACGCTGACACTTCCTAGGAACTGAGCACGTGATCTCCCGCTTCTCACCTTACCTTTAGGAATGTAGCCCTGAGCTTAGTAACCATCGAGGGGTTTACCCTTATGCTCTCTTGCATGATGGAGGTAAAACTGTAAAAAGAGATAAAAAGGAAGAAGTTGTTTGTAGCACTTTTCATCAAGGGCAAATGTCTGGGTGTCTTGAGTTGATTTGGAAATAACTAAGCAGATGTCGCCATGTCCAAGTTACCTGTCAATTAGCTGCCAAGCAAAGGACAGGTCCCCGACGATGTGCATTGTGATCAGGACCTCCTCTTTAATGTTGATGGTTCTGATCATTTGGTGGAGAAACTTGCGGGTATCCGCCAGAAACTGACACACTTGCAGATTGGACTCCAGCTGGTGGAACTCCTGAACCTATAGGGTATAAATGCATTGAGTTTTCAAATTCGGAAAGGCCTAAAGCATGCTCACTTTTTCTTGAGAACACTCCAAATAAAGCACATGAACTTACTAACGACTGATACAGTTTGTATTTCAAGGTGCAATGCTAGAACTGGATAAACCATGTTACAGGAGAATGCAAGTTTCTGTGATGAGACACGATCCATTATTTACTACCTTGTACATATGTACATAAGGAGCTCTGGTAGCGTAGTGGTTACGAATCGGGCTGTGAACCTTAAGGTCAGCGGTTCGAAACTACCAGCTGCTCCACGGGAGAAAGATGAGGCTTTCTACTCCCGTAAGGATTTACACCCTCGGAAACCCTGTACAGGGTCGCTATGGGTCGGAACCGACTCGACGGCACTTAACAACAACAACAACAACAACAACATATGTACATACAGAACACAATATGTGAATATTCCCCCATTTTTGGAATCAATGAACATACATTGTAAAATCCTAATGTTCAAGATTTGTAGGACCGCTTTTTTTTTTTTTGTAACATTAATATATCTTTTTTTGGGGTCACAATTCAATACATAACAGTATGTGTAGGACTGCTTTTTTTAAAAAATGTTTTTTATTGTGAATTATGTAATAGTTTACATGGGAGAATATTAGCTGTACATTCATTCTATTATATATTATTTCATTGCCATGATTACTACTCCTTCCATGCATCACCAACCAAAGGGTATACCTTGCAAGCCTGCCCCATGGTTGTCAGCACACAGCCCCTCTCCCTTTCTGGGTCTAGAGTCCCCAGCCACTCCATATCTCCAAGTCATTGTCTCTGCCTCCATCTCTGGCATCACCGTCTCCACTCTTCTCCTTTGATGGTCCCAGGGACCTCAGCTCCTGGACTGCAAAGTCAACCACTCCCCTCTTTTTGCTACAAAATGTCTACCTTTACATTTCCAACTCTCACAAGCAGTCCTGATAACAATTATTCACTATTGTATCACAAGAGTCCTATCCCCATCTCCTTTCATCAGCCCTGCTCAGACAGATTGGCTACTACTCAATGGAGATTCTACCTTCCTCTAACCTTCTGGATCTAGGTTCCCTCTTGAAAGTTTGTAAGCCAGTCACTTCTTGCCTTTGTAGCCCCTCCCACCTCCCGTTTTGGGTAGCCAATGTCCAAGTTGCCCATCCCTGTCTACCTTGTGGATGGAGAGGGTGGGAATGATCGTTGCTAAAAAGATTTGTTCCCTCTTATGAGCTACTGCATCCATAGGTGTAGGTCAAGTTCATCAAATTGTATCAGACTATTCTGTTTTGTGTAGGACTGCTTTTAAAAGAAAGCTACATACCCGTGTGGCTCAATTTTCAGTCAAGCAATAGATAGGTATGTACGGGGATAGCAACACTAGTGAGGTAGGAACAGCATAGAATGGTCAACCACTGGAGACCAAAAGGGCAGGAGTTACCTAAGGACAGAGCAGGAGGGTTGGAAACAAAGGAGGAATCGAAACAAGGCACCGGGGAAGTGGGCTAAGTGATGCTACACTGGGGGGATATAGTGCCTGAGATGAAGTCTATGTTGTGTTGAATGTCAAACTGATGATCTTACTCTGAAGCTTCTAATTCACAATAACAAGTTTAAAAAAAAAAAAAAAGTTACATCATTACCAAGCTGCTGGCATTTATACATCAACAAATTCTTTTCATGTATTCTTTGAAACACAGTAATGATTCCACAGTGCCCTGAAATTTTAATACTCAGAAATCAAGGGGTCTGGGCTGCATGCTAAAGTAAATAATGTAGAAGATAAAAAGCATCCAAGTGTTACACAGCTGTTTAAGGCTGTGCTGTGGACAGGGAAATGAAAACAAGTATTCAAAACAGAAATAGCACAAATGTACAGAAGGGAAACGTTGGTATCGAACAGTGGAGTATTATATGTGCTGTCAGTAACAGTAACTGTCCTAGAAACCTTGCAGACATAGAGCCTGTGAGAAACTCCACACAATAAACAAAGTATTACTTATCTCTGTAAAAATGGACACTCATACCAGTGGGACAGAATACAGATTCTGAGTGTACATGATGCTTTCAGTTAATAGTTTATTTTATGGCTATTGTTCTGATGCGTTGTTTAGTCTCTATTTTACACCCATGTAAATAAATTTTCAGGTAAACAAACATACAGTCAAATTGCTAAGGGTGCTCACATCACACACAATCATGTGGTCGCTGTTAAGTGCTGCAAAGTTGGCTCAGACGATACAGGGTTTCAAAGGAGCAGCTGGTGGGTTTGAACTGTGGACCTTGTGGTTCAGCGTCTGATGTTTATCATACAACGCCACAGCAGGAGTACACAATCAAGTTAGGGGAGGTAAAGACAAAACAAAACACTTATCCCCACACTCCCCAGAAAATACAGCAGCTACAAGGCATGGGATCAATACACAACTGTCTTCCTTTTTGAGTATCACTTTCTAGTGTCTCCCAGAAGGCACACACCTTTTCAAAAGCCTAAGAACAGTGTGTACATGCAGTATTGGGTTTTGCCTTTTCTTCCTGACCACAATGTCCCCGATGTTTCTAGACTATTTTTGTAACAATCTGCCCCCTGCCTCACAACTAATGGTACTTGTTTCAAGTTGAAACAAGATTTTTTTTTTTGCTACCATTCTCTTCATGCTGGTAATTACTTCCCCGGATTTAAAGCCCTGTATATAATATTACAGGAGGCCCAGTGGCCCAGTGGTTAAAGGGCCTGGCTGCTAACCAAAAGGGTGGTGGTTTGAACCCACCAGATACTCCGTGGGAGGAAGATGTGGCAATCTGATTCTGTAAACATTTACAACTTTGGAAACCCTATGGGGCAGTTCTACTTTGTCCTTATAGGGTTGCTGTGAGCCGGAAATGACCCGAGGGCAATGGCTGGAATATAATGTTACAATGAGCCTATTAACATGGATTGCTTTCTTCTTTTGATGCAACAGTAGATTGCATATACAGAAGTAGATTCCTGGGTGGATCCCAAAGTACGAGTTATGATCTAAAAATTGTCATTTAACAAGATTCTCCTTACCTCCTCCAAAGCTTGGATGAGTTGCACAGTTTTTCTGCCCGCAGCGGTAGAATCATCATAGTTTAAAGACAGTATTTGCTTTGAGATCTCTCGGAACCAAGCTTGAAGGTTTTCTATTAATACAGAAATAAGGGAAGACTACTGAAATCCCACAATTTTTCTACCAGTGGCTGTGAGCTTAATGAAAGCACCTTTTACAAGTCCAGTTCTTACTCACGAGGCTTTTACTATGTGCCTAATGTTGTTGCTCCCAGAAATTCTCCAAACAACAACAGGTGAGAGACCAGGAATGTGTGACCAGTAGAATAAAGGACACATTCTCTATATGTTAACAGAGTCTATCAGATCTGGAAGAAATGATGGAAGACCCAAGGGTGTGCTTTAAAGGATATATGCAGAGGTGATGGGGGCAGAGGGAGGGGAGGATTTGGGAAAGACTGAAGGACACCTCAGTCTCCAGAGATGAAGGGACAAGCATGCACTGGAGAGACAGTGGCCCATCTGGAGGGGGCAGAGGGAAGCCCATCATGTGAGTTGTGGGAGAGGGATGCAGAGTTCCCAGGTTGGCATCTACCTTCACAGAGCAGAGAGAGAAGGCCATTCACACGCTCTGAGCACCCTCAGGCCAAGTACTATCTGCGGAGGCATGGACTGTCCTTCACAGATGGAGCCCAAGTGCTGACCTATGAAGAGTCCTATCTAGGGACTGTCACCAAGATCCGTCCAGATCCCAAGTCTGTGTTCTTCTTACCTCCCATGTTGATTTCTTAGAAACATAAAACTTTAAAAAAATTTTACTTTAGTTTTGTTTTACCAATGGGCTATTATCATTGGCATGAGGGACACTAGTTGTAATTTTAAAGTTTTCTCTTTTTTGGAAGGATTGAGGGATAGCTATGAAATAGTAGGGAGAACAGTTTGGAGCCTGAGGTGCTAAGTTGAATGTGGGCTCTGGACCTTTGTTACCCTCAATGGAATGATCACATTTTTCATCTTCAGTTTCCTTGTATGTAAAATAAGGATACAGAAGCGTATCTGCTAGGGTTGTGAAGACCAAATGAGAAATATCAGTGAAAGTACTTCTTGCGTTGAACACCGCTATATAGCCAGAATGAGTAGCAGGTGGCAGTCCTGAATGACCTCTGAAACAAACCTGGTATTTATAAGCACCCAATGGACTCCTGGTGTGGTGCTGTAGGACCAGCATTGGACTGTGAACCACAAGGCTGGCAGTTCAAATCCACCAGCCGCTCCGTGGAAACTTTACAGAGGGTTGCTATGAGTTAGAATCGACTTGACAGCACTTAACAACAACAACAAAAGGAATCGGCTGGAGACCTGCTGCGGCACTCTAAGCTCACCACTGGACTGCTAACCACAAGGATGGTGGTTCAAACCCACCAGCAGCATCTTGAAAACCCTATACAGGGTCGCATTGAGTTGGAACCAACTCGACGGCACTCAACAACAACAAAGGAGTTCTGTTGTGGCATTGTAGGCTAAGCACTGTACTGCTGAAAGCAAGCTTGGTGGTTCACATCCAAGAGCAGCTCCTTAGAAACCCGACATAGGGTCACAAGAGTTGGAACTGACTCCACAGCACACAACAGTGGAGCACAACACTACTCTGATACACAGACAGGGTCACCATGAGGTGGGATCAACTCAACGGCAACAGGTGGAAAAGAGACACTAACACCCAATGTGGTGATACTGTGGCAGGTGGGCTCTTGGCTCTGAGTTACATTCTGAGGCCCTGTAAAGCTTGTGGTCAATTTCTATCACATCAGGGCAAACTGGCCTGACTCCTGGAAATGATACTGTAGGCTAATTCCTCATACATTAAATAAATCTTCAATATCAGTATACTAAAATAGTGATAACAAGCTCATAGTGATTAAAGATAGCCAAGTTATGTTTTATATATAAAAAGCTACACTATTAAGCAATTCTACTGTATAATTTTGGAGTCCTGGTGTGGTGCTGCAGAGTAATTTGCTGGACAGCAACGTCAGTTTGAACCACAAATTTGGTGGTTCAAACCCACCAGGCGCTCCTCGGAAACCCCATACAGGGTCGCCATGAGTCAGAACCGACTTGATGGCACTTAACAACAACTGTATAATTAACTTCATTGGAAATGAATCTGATAGTTAAAATGACATTACGCATATGTTAAAAAAGTCTGTCAGCTGAAAGTTCAGAATTGTCTTTCAGGATAAACACTTGAAGTGATGCCACAATACACTATAGAGAAAATGTCTTAAAGGAGCTGGCCTCAAATCATTTAGGTAAAACTTGAGTTGTGCTTGCATTTTGAAGTTCCAATGCTTGCTACAACAGGGATAAACCTTGAAAACATGATGCTGAGTGAAATAATAATCAGACAGAAAAGGACAGATATAATAGGGTCCCAGTTACAGTAAACATCCAAAACAGGCAAATGCATAGAGGCTGAAGTATATTAACGGTTATCAAGGTGACTGGGAGGGACACCTCACTTCAGTGATGGATAATGAGAAAACTAGCACACAGATAGTGGTGATAGGTTGAACAACATGAGAACACAGTCAGTGTCACTGAACTGCATGCACACACAAGTGGTTGAGATGGCAAATGTTTTGATTTATAGGCTACCTCAGAAATACTGTATGTTTGGTTCCAGATAACTGCCAATATCATAATAAAGCAAGTCACGAGAATTTTTTTGCTTCCCAAATAAGCAAACATAAAACTAAACCAAAGACAGCAAACAACTCCACTGCCACCGAGTCGATTCCAACTGACAGTGAGCCAGCTGGCCAGTGCACTACTGCTCCTGAGGGCTCCTGGGACTGTCAGTCTTTATGGGAGGAGCCTCACTTTTCTCCCAAGGAGCGGCTGGTGGGTTTGAACCACTGACTTTGTGGCTAGCAGCCCAATGTTTAACCCATGGTACCACCTGGGTTTCCGTTTGGTTTTCCAAGGCATTTAAAAGTCATGTTTATACTATCTTGTAGTCTATGATATCTGCAATAGCAGCATTATGAAATATTCTGAAATAATGTGAGGATTACCAAAACATGACAGGGATATGAAGTAAGCACACACTGTTGGAAAAACGGTGCCAACAGATTTACGTCATGCAAGGTTGCCAGAAAATTCCAGTTTTCAAAAGCAAAAAATAAAATGTATTTGTGAAGTGTGAGGTGTGCCTGTATACTGTTTTCACAAAAATAATAATAAAACACAGAAAGGTCTACTGATCCCCTCTTTTGCCATTAGATGGCTGATGTATTGATGAGTATGAACAAGAACCAAACCACCTTAGACGACAAGTACCTTGGGTATCATCTACGTTGGTAGTTATTAATATTCTTGGGTGATGATTCTTTCTGAGAAGATCATGAAAGCTACAGCTCCTCTCCTCCCCTGACTCAAACACACGGACACTTAGAAATATAATTTTGCAGACTGTTCAGAGGGGAAGTTTTGTTTCTGTGAAGTCTACTCACGAACTATAGTATGAAAACCTCTGATTCAGGCTACTCCCAGCTTTCAGAGATAAAGAACCTAAAGACCCGAGAAGGCAGCAAGACTGTCTGCGGGGAAGACAAGTTAGAAGCGGCAAAAACTAAACTTCAGATCTTTAGCTGTAGCTGTGTGCCGCAGAGTCGAAGAATTTCTTCTGACAGAGACTGTGCAGTGCCAAAATCAAAGAGGGAGATGCTAGGGTAGGGAACGGCCCAAAGGACTTCGGACTATGTCAGTTTCTAACACTTCCATAGACTGTGTATACACTACAAAGACACCAAGATGTCCTCGTCAGCAATCACCATTTTTCTCCACTCTGGTTAGGGGCTTCACTCCGGAGAAGACATCAGCGAGCTCGGTCATGCGCTCTGAGCCCTCCTTCTTATAAAGCTCCCACTTGGTTTGCTTTTCAGAAAGCATCTGCTTGAACATCTATTGAGACAGAAAAGATTTCTTAACCTAGGAGTCAAGCCAAATCAGGCTGTTTATTGACAAAGCCTGAGGGGGACCCCAATTTATTATAATATCTATATTTAGATACCTCAAGAGTTCTGGTGTGGTGCTGTAGGATAAGCACTGGACTGCTAACCACAAGGTTGATGGTTCAGCCACCAGCTGCTCCTCAGAAACCCTATACAGAGTTTGCTTGAGGTCAGAACTGACTCAATGGCACTTAACAACAGCAACCAGGAGCCCTCGGGGCACAGTGGATTCAGAGCATTGGGCTCCCTGAAAGGGTAGCAGTTCAAACTCAACAGAACAGCTGCTCCGGGGGAGAGAGATGAGGCTGTCTGCTCCCATAAAGGTTTACAGCCTCGGGACCCCTTTGAAGTGTAATAATCTGTCCTACAGGGTCTCTCTGAGTTGCCACTGACTCAGGGATAGTGAATGGGGTGGGAAGGGGCCCTGGTGGATTACTAGTTAAGTGTTCCGCTGCTGACTGAAAACTGCTCCCTGGGAGAAAGATGTGGCAGTCTGCGCCCATAAAGACTCCAATCTTGGACGCCCTACGGGGCAGTTCTGAAGCTGAGGCAGTGCCCCAGGTGGACGTAGGACCTTGTTCCCTGAGAGCAGAGAACCATGCTCCCTTCCCTGAGAGGTCACACCTTCACTGCTGTGAGCCTTTGATAAAAGTCCACAATCCTCATTAGGATGCAACTGCCAGGGATCTTGTGCACTTGTGCCTATCACTGTCTCCCCAGGGAAAGTAGACGCTAGAGGATTAAATGTCGTTAACTGCTAAATCCTATCCTCTTTTTAAAGAACCACCTTGGCATCTAGAGTCTGTAGCTTAAATCATGGAGACGTAAGTAGCTTAAATTAAGACATAAGCACTAAATCGTTCAGTTTTTGTTTTACATATTTAATCACATATATAAACATACTAAGACTTTGGCACTTATCCATTCGGCATCTTTACCTCTTTGAGTATAAACTCAAATTGTGCAGTATCTAGCAGCAACTGGAAGAGGATCTTGGGATTGTACCTCGAGTCTGTTAGAATCTGGTCCTTGATTTGACGCAGACGTTTGTTGTTTGGGTCACAGGCTAGTAATGGCAAGAACAAAGAGTTATCAATCTATGAACCGTGTTAAAAATATCTATGGAATCTACAATAAATAAGTAGGCACTGAGTTTCATTAATTTTAAGCAGTGAAAGTCATCAGCAAAACGTATATTAATAACAGATGATGAAGTAAGTTTTAGGTTGTCAAGCTCTGGAGCACTGCTGAACCGCAAGACATGACAAATGGATCAGACACAGAATGTCGTCTCTGAGAGATTGCTGAGCCCGAAAAACAAGCCGTGGATCAGTGCTCCCACCCTCGTAAGCATTTCAGGGGAAAGACACAGCTGTATTTTACATACACATTACACACAGATATAAAGCTTTGCAAACCCTATACAGAGTCTCCATGAGTCACAACCAAGTAGACAGTATAGCACCACCACCACCACCATCATATGTATGAAGGACCGCCGGAAGAATATGTGTTGCACTGTTAACCACACAGCCAGCACTTCGAATGTACCAGCCGCTCTGTGAGAAAAAGATGAGGCATTCTGTCTCCATAAAAATTTACAGACTCACACACTCTATTCAGGGTTGCTGAGTTGAAAATGTCTCCACAGCACACAACTACCACCACCACATAAGTGTGTGTGCATATTAAAGTGACAAGAAGACAACAGTTACCATAGTTTTAATGCAGTGACCACTGGGGAATAGATATGAGGTTTGGAGTTGGAGGGGAGATCAAACGAAATTCAGGAAGGGGCTTTCATCTTTAACACTTCTCTACTTTTTAAGTTTGACATGAGCAGTTAAAGTGTATAAAGTGTAACAATATAGTAACGACTGTAAACACAGCGAGGCTCCCTGAACCATCAGAAAGGCCCAAAGGAATGGCAGGTGGTCAGAGCTGTCTGGACCGTCCATTACAAAAGCAGAAAGAGTTAAGGCAACTTGGCAAAGGTAACAGAGACAGTGACTGACCCAGGGACAAAACACTAACTATCTTGATTCCCAGGCCAGCCTATCAGCTACCAAAGCTGAACTATGTCAAAGAAAATAAACACTACATTCAAAGAAAATTATGCCATCAAAACCACTGATTATTTGTTGAGATTAGTTTTTTGGGCCAGTTACTTATCTAAAAAGATGTAGGAGAATAGGTGAAGGCAAGGATACTTACAAGCAAAAACTAACCCAAACTGTATATAAAACCAAATTAAAAAAAAAACCAATAGAAATTGTTTTTAGCCATAAAGTTCACAGCTGAATCAAGTATAAGGACTTCACAGGCTGCTCTAGTACTGTAGGTGTGAATTCTCCCATGTGCCCCAACAAATACCGCAGCATAGCTGGCAAGGCTGACAGGAAGGTCTTCGGTAGTTGCATTAATATTAAAGGCCTATCAACCAGCTTTCCTAGACCTCTCCTTTCCCCCCTGCCCCATTTATATCACAGGACGGTTGGTATGAGTAGAATGAGTTTTCTAGGTGAACATGTGTTGAGGAGTACAATTTGGGGCTCTTCAGTTATGGCGAAGCTGGTGGAAAACACTGCCATCGAATCGATTCGGACTCATAGTGACCCCTACAGAACAGAGAAGAACTGCTTTCTCCTAGGGTTTTGGTGACTGGACATCTTCCCAGGAGCAGACAGCCTCTTCCCTTTCCTGTGGATGCTGCTGGAACTTAACCACTGATTTTGCAGTTAGCTTAACCAATGCTTAACCCACTATGCCACCAGGGCCTCTTGAGCCTTGGAGGGCCATTTTAAATACTGATCTCAGATATTCCATTGGGAAGGGCACTGTTTTCATAGGAAACTGCAGGGTTTGATTCGTCATGCATTCTCCAGAAAGAGCTGGGAAGAAACTACATTGGAACTGGTAAGTGATTACCCAGAGCGGGCACTGTTTCAGTTTACATTTGTCTAACTAATAAAGAAAACAAAAACTCAGAAGGAGTCCCACTTGTCTTTATACTTGTTCCAATTCATCAAGACACCTGATATTAACTTGCTTTCGTTTTTGGATAGAGAACAGGACAATCTAGTTGGCGGACAAACAGTTTAGATTCCTCACTGGGTATCAACGCTTAGCCATTTCTGCTTATTTTTTTCAGATGGGCCTGTCAAGAATCAGACCCAGGGAACCAAGAAGACAGATCCCACCACAGTGGTGACTTCGGGGGGTCAGTCTTCGATAGCCAGCACTGCAGAAGTACAGAAAGCCTCAGCGACACGGCTGCGGCAGGTTCACAGTACCTGACGGGCCATCCCTCCTGCACACCATGACCCAAACACCATGAAAATGTGGAATGAGTAGTTACTTTCCTACCTCTGACACATAACCGGATGGGCCATCCATCTGTTTTGGGTCAACTCTGACCTTGTGCAATCAGGGCAGGCAATTTTCAGGCACAGAAATGAAAAGCAGATGTGGCAGATAATAAAAGCACAGGCCTCTAAGGAGCGGAGGTTGTCCCTGGCACGGGTGCAGGTCCGGGGACCTACGGGCTCCCAGAACCTGGGCTTGGCTGTCAGGCACAATCGTGCAGAAGATGAAGATGAGGCTGAGTCACTGGAAAACCACAGTCGGTTTTACAAAATGATAAAATGGTCGTTTATATATTCTGGTGAATTTCAGACTTCTGGTAAAGGAGATCGTAGTCTGAGTCAATGGAGTAAAATCCCTCAAGCTAGACCTGGAATTTATGCCAAAATAAATTACAAACAGATCTGTCAGATCATGAAAAACTTCAGCTACAGCATTCCCTCTGTGGGAAAGTTGGAAATTGGAAAGGGATCTAGGCCAGTAAGTAAAATGATGAAAAAAAAAGGAAAGTAGCACTTGTGAGTAGAGGTTTTAAAAAGCTGGAGGTTTCTAGTCTGAGCAGAAAGGCCACACTTTCAAAGATACGAAGGATGGGGGCAGTCCAACTACTGTTTTCACTTGTGACCACTCATGGGAAGTGGGAGCAGATGGTAGCTCCAGGGACTAGGAGGTGACAGTGGAAGTCTATCTCGACCGGAAGGTTGTGACACAAGGGGCTCGTTACTGAGGGAAGCAGCAAAACAAGCTGGGATGGCCTGCTTTTCTAGAGACTGCGCTTTATCTGAAAGCACAAGGAAGTATCGAAGGCAGGGTTGGTCCTTAGGGTAGATCCTAAGAAATGTTTGTTGCATGAAAAACAAAAAGCAGAGACCTTCCCAGGGTTGCTGAATCACACAACTCTGACAGGGAGGAGCATGCCGCTCTGGATGAGTGAATTCATTAACAACGCCCATCAAGCATTTACCAAGTATAAAGAACCGTGCCAGCTCTGAACAAGTTCAGAGGTGTGACTTAACCAGCCTACTGATTTTCCTACTGTGAAACCAGGGTTCGCAGAGTCAGAGACTCCTGGAGCATGAAGTTAAATTTCCTCATAGTCCTCAGGACCTCAGGGTACCTGACAAAGGACAGCTGGTTCAGGTATGAAACTGACATGTACACATTGATGCAAAAGTGGCTGAGCCAAAGAAGCAACTTCATTCTCCTCCAAGAGCTCTCTCTTGCTAACCCACAGTGTGCCACGGAGTAGATGGTAACTGGGAAAGCCTTTGTAGAGGGTGACATAAATGGCCGCCATCTTTCATGCCTTACCTGAGTCTGCGGTATGAAGCATCAGCCACCGGATGGCAACGTTGCAGTCCCTCAGACAATTCAGATGCCTTGGGATGTTGTCCAGGACCACCTCCTCCCGTAAGTAGCCTTCTTTCAGAAACTGCTGCACCTGAGCATGCACTCGCTCACTGACTGTAGCATATCTGCTTGCCTTTGGGGGAAAAATCTTGAATTATGTTCAAAGAAAGAACGAACCATTTATCTTGAAAACGAATCACATTCAAATGAATCCTTTGACAAATAATAAACCTCTAAATGAGGTTTGAAGGAGCTCTGGTAGCATAGTGGTTACGAATCAGGCTGCTAACCTCAGGGTGAGCAGTTCAAAACTACCAGCGGTTCTGCAGGAGAAAGATAAGGCTTTCTGCTCCGGTAAAGATTTACAGCCTCGGAAACCCTATGAAGGGTCGCTACGAGTTGGAACCAACTCCACAGCACAAAACCACCAACCAACCAGATGAGGTTGAATCACGATTAGACAGACGTTTCTGAGGCTCAAAGGCTGACACTTAAAACAACATTTGATTCTGTTATTCTTCAGTGCTTTAGGTTCCCATTCAACAAATTCCACACGAGTTGTTCAGTGACAGCGATTACATTCTTCACAACGTGTGAATGCTTTCAGTATTTCCATTCTGGTTGTTTTGTTTCCATCCATCTAGTTTCCTTGCTTCTGGTAGTCTCACTTTTGTTTTAACGTAATGGTTGATTATTTAGTCTCCTATAGGTGATTCTTTTAAAGGATGGTACTTAAGGGTGATGTTCATTACTTTTTCGGTCACAGTTAAGGCTGTGGCTTTTGTAGACTCTTCGTCTTGTAGACTAGTTTCTTGAATCTTTGGTTTCCTTTTTTCTCTTTTGCTCGGGATGAATAGAGATGTTAGATGGGATATATTTTTTTAACAGAGCACTGGACTTAGAAATAAGAGACTACATCCTAGTTCTGACTGGGATTAAATACTGGTATAAATTTGAGCTTAACTTTTGTATATTGGCTTCTTTAAACGTCAAATAGAAAACTGGAACACGTGACCCCTTAGGTCTATTCTGTTCTTCACTCAGCTGAAAAGAAACATACAGTCAGATGCCAAATTGTCTGTCCTTCCTTATTAGTATGCACCAAAGATACAAGGGGGAGCAGAAATCAAAAGGTAAGACGTCTAGAGGTATACATAAAGCTTAACTAAAAAAACATGCCTCAGTATTTCAAAATTTAATTTTCAAGCTAGCCTTTTGAGAATCTATTAATTTTGCAAAACAAGAATTAAAATAAAATTCCAATGTTATTATCCTAGTCAGGGTACTTTAAAATGATCATAGGGTATTTCATTAGAAGACTCTGAAGAAACTACTTACAGTGTTGTAAATAAGAAAACACAAACACCAAAAAGTAGGCATTTTGGTAATGAAAAATTAATGCTCTGGTGCATGTAAGTATAGATGTTTTACTACTTTCTCCAATGTATTTCTAGGAGATATACCAATGTTGAAGTTTTCTGTTTTATTTATGGTAGGCAATTTATTTGAGTACAACACACAGAAATGTTTGGAGACATCATTCTGTCCAGATTGGAAATTCAAAGACCAAGACAGTCAGGCTGAGGGGGCACTCTGGTTTAGAAATCTGTTATTCTCTCCAAGGAAGACTTAAGGATTATTCTTCTATCTCACACATAGATTTCCTCCTGCTTTGTGTTCTTGTCAAGGAGACAGGATACAGCGATTTAAATTCTGAAGTGATGAATGAGTTGTCTTGTTGCATATCATAAGTGACGAATTCAAATGATAGCAATAGGGCATATTGTGGACATTCAGTTACCGCCATCAACATTTACCCTACTGATAGAAACAGATTCAGTTCAGGTAGTCATGAAATCAGTTCTGCCCCTAAGGGCATGGTCTTTAGGCACAGTAAATGGATGGAGTCAACTGAAGCCCTATGTTGTGCTTATTCATCATAGGACGGTCCATTTTCCCCAGGGCCCAAGTCTCCCATTTACACATATCACATGATTCAAAAAGCAATAAAAACCTACCAAAATTCACTGTTCCATCATCACTGCACTAAGACTGTTTATGTGGAGAGCTTCCAAATTCCTTGGGATAGCTACTTAACCTGTTTCCCACCTCATATATGACACTTGTAGTTATTGGAGAATTCTTCCTGGTTAATCAGAACCTACCTGTTCTCTGACATTGGATAAGTCCAGTGTATTGTTTAAAGCTGTTTTTGCAGCTTTGTAAGGTTCCCAAGCATCTGCCAGATTTACTGTGATTCCCATGTAAATGCTAATTACCTGAAAGAAGAGACATTCATTTGTTCAATATTTGTGAAACACTTACTTCAAGGTAAGGGCACAACATTACAAAAGACACTACCCAGTCCTTCCTTCAAGTTAAATATTGTTTACTCCATTCCACAGAAAATACAAGAGTTTTCAAATAAATGAAGAGAATTCAACACATTTGTGGAAAATCCCAATTTCTATTAATTCCACCTCCCCCCCACCCCCGCAACTTTTTGAAGCCTCCTTATAAAGAAACATATCCTTCCTCATCAGGATTTCCAAACAGAAGAGTGGCAACATTTTTATTCATGGGAAAAGAACCAAAATAAGATTTTCCTTTCTTTTCAATCTGCCAGGATGCTTTCACAGGTATGTAGTAACGTAGTGGTTAGAATCTGGCTGTGAACCACAAGGTCAGCAGTATGAAACTACCAGCTGTTCCGCGGGAGAAAGATGAGGTTTTCTGCTCCCGTAAAGATTTACAGCCTTGGAAGCCCTGTATAGGGTCACTAAGGGTCAGAACCGACTCATGGCACTTAACAACAACAACAACAACATTAGAGTGTTGATGCTGTAGGATAAGCACTGAACTGCTAACTATGAGATCAAAACTCAACAGCTGCTCTTGGGAACCCAATATGCTATGAGTCTGAATGGAGTCGATGTAGTAACAACAATATTGTCAAACTGGATTTTGACCTTTCATAGCACTAAAAACGTTTCTGATTATATAGTATTACGGTCAAAACTTCTTTATTAAATTTAGGCACAGGAAGTCAAGACTTTAAGAAGTTCCTTCTTCATGGTCCAAGTCCAAATTGATTAGTGTGAGTCATACGTCGACAGCAGCCAGCATCTCCTAATCAAAGCTGTTCTTCTATTGCCAGTAAAGCTCCTCATTCTGGTCTCTCATTAAGGACAGGAGCTGGTAAGAAGCGGAACAAAATCTGCTGCAAATACACCTGCCCTTCAAAAGCTCATGTTTCTCATTCATTGGACTTCATTAAACCTTCCCAGCATAAAGAAAACATCTCATGTATCTAAGGATGCTATGTCATCTTTACTCCTTTAAGAATATGTTAAACTGCAGCAAAAACATGACAAGCATATCCCTATAGTGTAAAACCTTATTAGCCCCATTACTGCTCATCCAAACCCATCCCAGTGCCATCTAGTACATTCTGACTCAGAGGCACCTTACAGGATATGGCAGTACTGCCTCAAAGGGGCGCTAAGGCTGACATTTACGGAAACAGACTGCCACGTTGTTCTCCCATGGAGCAGCTGATGGGCTTGACCTGCTGACCTTTTGGTTAGCAGCTGAACATTTAGACACTGCATCACCAACACTGCTAGCTTATAAAGATAACAGCCTGAGAGTCCTATGGGGCAGTTCTACCACGTCCTATAAGGGTGAAATTGACTTGGTGGGTTTGATTTAGATTATCATAAAGTAAAGTACCTATCCACATGATGATAAATTTAATGAGGTATGGATAATTTAATAATAGAAAGAATGCAAGCAAACAAACATTATGTAACTTAAGGTGCAATCTCAGTAGCTAAAGAAAGATGCATTTTAATATGTGGTTTTACCTTCAGAATAACCATTTAGGAAAAAAAGACTAATGGGTTCTTCAGGAAATTGTACTGATCTATACTCCAGGCTACAATGTATGTGATATTCTTAACACACAATAACTTTACGGTAGTGATTTTATGCTACATTATTTATAACATTATGACCTCTGGGTAAAAGCCAACAGAACTGAACATCGTACTCTAGCAAATGTATTATCGTGAACAAAGACTAACAGCAATACTTGCCCAATTATCTGGAAAATATTTATCCACTATCTCTCTCATCTTCGCTTGATGGGTGTGCAGAATGGAAGGCTCAAAGTAGAGAATCACGTACAGCATGGCAGCTTGGTTGGCCAGAGCAGTGCTGCGATGCTCAGGTAATGGGTACGCGGAGACCTTGGACACAGAGGCCACCCCCGAAGAGTCAGCGGTTAGTAACTTTGAATGTAGACAGGCTCCCCGTAAGCACCTAAGCTACCTAGCTCTATGGGCCACCTCCTCTGAGGATCCTGGACACTAGGAAGAATTCTCAGATTGGGGCATGGCTAAAGCATGGCCTTTCTTCTTATCTCCAACCCAGTGAGACTGTCTTTCTTCCAGCCCACCAGCTACCCCATCTTTGTCTTTCCCACTACCAACAATAAGGAGCTCTGGTAGCGTAGTGGTTATGAATCGGGCTGCTAATCTCATGGTCAGCAGTTTGAACCTACCAGCTGTTCTGTGGGAGAAAGATCTTTCTGCGGGTCCCGTAAAGATTTACAGCCTCGGAAACCCTGTACAGGGTCGCTATGAGTTGGAAACGACTCCACGACACATCACCATCACCACCACTACCAACAGTGAAGCCCAACAGTAATCTCTGGCACATGGGAAGACAGACGACTTGCCAATGCTTCAGTAGCTTTAATGCCTGTTTGTCCACCCGCTCTACTTCATTGCCCTATAGTCCTCGTTGTCACCTGTTACCATCTTGCTGCTTCCCTGTGCTTTCCTTCCTAACACTCACCTGGCTTTACTCTCATTTTTTAGCTGCCTATCTCTCTTCTTTCTTAAGCTGTATGCTCATTATGGGTAGGGTCCATGGCCTGCCTACTTCAGTGATGTATATCCAACACACAGGCTGGCACATATGTTGACAGCACACTCAATAACTATTTCTTGAATGAATAATTAAAGGAATACATCTTCTTTGCAAAGACAGTTCAAATCCATCTCCTCCCTAAAACTCTGATCTGTCAAATTAACCTCACTCTTTCCTCTACCCTCCCATAACAGAGATCAAGACAGTTTGCATTGTTTCTAGAGGTTCTTCCTTTTCTTCTCAGGAAGAAGGAAGGGCAAGAACAATTGAGAAGATGGTGTAACTGATCTTTTAAATCATTACAATTATAATGGCTTCACTTCTCACCTGGTTATAAATATCATCCGATCTGAGTCGACCAATGACCATGCTGATGAACGATCCATTGATAGGCACTCTCTGGAAATAGCTCTCAGGATAACTGGTTGGCCTTTTGGCTCCTGGTTGGCTGGAATAACCTGTACTTCGAAGCAGCTTACAAATATCATCTATATTTGAATCGGCAGAAGATCGGGCAGCACTGAGTCATATTCCCAATGGGAAATAAAAGACCAAACACATGGCACATGTTAGGAACTCAAAAACCACAGCGAAAGAATTCTATTATAATTTGACTTTATAGTTTTAGATAGGATCATGAGTCAATTCATACCATTAAGATGCAAATTTACACTTTCAAAAGCTTATTATTGTTGTTGCTAAGTGCTGTCGAGAGTCAGTTTCCAAGAAGCAGTCGATGAGTTTGAACTACCAACCTTGCAGTTCAAACTGATCCTGTGGTCCAGTGCTTATCCTACAATGCCACACCAGGACTCCATATTCCAAGATGGATTGGCTTCTTGGATCAGCTATCAACACTCACAGAAGCAGCAGTCAAGAAATCAGAATTGCATTGGGCAAATCTGCTTTTGCAAAAGACTTTTTTAAAGTGTTGAAGAGCAAAGATGTCAGCTTGAGGACTATGGTATGTTTGACCCAAGCCATGGTATTTTCAATAACCTCAAATGCATGTGAAAACTGGACAGTGAATACGGAAGACCGTAGAAGTGACACATTTGAGTTATGGGGTTAGAGGAGAATATTGAAAGTGCCATGAGCTGCCAAAAGAACCAACAGATCTGCGTTGGAAGATGTACAGCCAGAGTGCTCCTTGGAGGCCAAGATGGCCAAACTTCGTCTCTCATACTTTGGATATATTGTCAGGAGGGACCAGTCGCTGGAGAAGGATATCATGTTTGGTAGGGTTGAAGGTCAGAGAAAAAGAGGAAGACTCCCAGTGATATGGATTGGCAAAGTAGCAGCATCAATGGCTCAAAGGTAGCAACAACTATGAGGTTGGCCCAGGACCAGGCAGTGTTCTGTTCTGTAGTGCATAGGGTCGCTATGAGTCGGTACCGACTCAATGGCACCTAACAACAACATGTGCCATGAAGTTGGTCCCAACTCATAGTGACCCTGCATAGGGTTTCCAAGCTTGTAAATCTTTATGGGAGCAGAAAGCCTCAGTAGTTTTGAACTGCTGTAGCACACTCATAAAACGGGTATTGTTGTTGTTGTGTGTCGTTGAGTCGGTTCCAATAGTAACAATGTTTAGGGTTTTGGAGAGCGACTGGTGGTTTTGAACTTCTGATCTTATGGTTAGTAGTATAGTGCTTATCCTATAGCACCATCCAAGGGCTCAAGATGGGTATTGATAATATTGTTAAGTACCACTGAGTCTGTTCTGACTCATAGAGACCTTGTGTAGGGTTTCCGAGGAGCAGCTGGTTGGTTTGAACCATTGACCTTGGTGTTAGCAGTCCAGTGCTACACCAGGACTCCAAAAGGAGTATTAGTTTTATGTGAAAGTCTACAATCCCTTTACCAAAATCATCAGGCCTGGATATGTTTGGGAATAGAGCAGTTTTCCAATGTAATAAGCAACGTGGTACACAGGTGATTCAGAATACTCCAGCAGGGTACGAGTTGGTGCCCCGCTTTCAACACAGGTTAGTATTTCCACAGTAAAATTTATGAACATTCACGCAAGTGAGATAAATACGTATTGTATACGGCTTTGTATCTGTTCTGGCCAGGTTTTGAGTCCAAATGATTTGAGCTTAGATCAAGTTTTGCTGCCACAGGAGTTACTGTGTGCATTTTCAGGGCTGTTTAGATTTTAGAATTGAAGATAAACCATGTGAATCTCTACCAACAGTTCAGAAACTAAAAAATAATGCCATTTAGTCAATTCGGACTCACACCAACCCTATATATAGGCAGGCTAGAACGGGCCCATTGGTTTTCTCAGGCTGCAAGTCTTCATGGAAGCAGACTGTCACATACCTTTCTCCCATGGAGTGGCTGGTGGTTTTGAACCAACAACCTTTTGGTTTGCAGTCCAGTGCTTTAACCACTGTGTCCCTAGGGCTCCTTGGCGATATACTAATTGGTTTCAATTGGCAAACTGCTTCTTCTGCAGAGTGTAACAAACACCTTCAAGATTTTTACGGTGATTTCAAATAATAATCCCTGAAAGAAATGAACTGCCCTCAAAGAACTGCAGAGTTGGAGATAACTTCCAAGAGCCTCCTTCACAGCAAGGCCGACTCAGAACTGTTCACAGGCACTTGGACAATAGATGCTCATGATTCAAGGAATTAGCTCTGCACTCCAAAGGACAAAGCCAGAGATTCAGAGCTGGGCTTAATGGAACATTCCTGTTTCTGTCTTTCAAAGTATTTTCAGAAATATAGGCAGGACGACTCAATTTTCCTTTTTAAAAACATAGTAGTCAAATCAGCTTGTGGTCAGAGTGATGCGAATGTATTCTGCCGGCTGGTGGGCTCTCCCTTGCCACAGACTAGAAGAGTAGCCTGCGCTGACTTGCTGCTGGGGTGGCAGCAGGGCCCGGTGTGGCTGAATGTATAACATCCCTAGACAATCCCCTTCTCTGTTGAGGAGCTGCTTCTCCTGTCCTATTTACTTTGTCCTCCTCTGTAAGCTTGGAAATGGTCATTTGTGAACATTTGAGCCCAAGTTCTGAACAGACACCTGCTTACTGACAACTGTTTCTCTGAATCTTGGTTATTTCTGACCTGCACCTCATATCCAGATTTTGACTCACTTGTTCACCAAAATAAAAACCTGTATGCTGATCCTGGCATTAGAATGTTGGTCAAGGGGGCTCCTGTCTTTAAAGTCCTTCTCGAAGAGTCACATTTCTGTACCGACATCCACAGCACAAGACTCGGGATGTGCACTTTTGTGTGTTTGGCTTTTCTTTCAAAATTATATGAGACTTTACATCCAACCTGACCTGGCGCGGTAACTTTCCAAAATCATCAACAGGAAATGACAACAAAGAACGTACTAATTTCCTTATGTGCCGCCAAGGAGCAATATTAGGAAAAAACCAACCAAACAGAAACTGAGAAGAACGTTCATTGTGTTGTTGTGTGCCATGAGTCCACTGACTCACAGACCCCAAGTCACAGAATAGAATTGTCCCCCTGTGTTTTCTTGGCTGTGACTTTTGCACAAGCAGATGGCCAGTTTTTTTCTCCCATAGATCATCTGTGTAGGTTCGAACTGCCAACCTTTTGGTAGGCAGCAAGAATGTTAACCATTTGCACCAGGAGGGTTCCTTGGTGGTGGTGGCTATGTTCCGTAGAGTCGGTTCCGACCCATAGCGACTCTGTACAGGGTTTCCAAGGCTGTAAATCTTTACGTGAGCAGAAAGCCTCATCTTTCTCTCGCAGAACAGCTGGTAGGTTCAAACTGCTGACCTTGCAGTTTGCAGGCCGACTGGTAACCACTACGCTACCAGAGCTCCTTAGGAGGGTTCCTTGGACTTGCCAAACTCTTTAAAGTTTACCTTCAGGGTAAAGAAAATTCAGATTATTTTTCATTTGTTTAAACTGAGATACTATCATGGATATAACAATCTATAGTTTAGTAACGTTGCTCTTGTTGTTAAATAACATAGAGTTCAGTCCAAGCCACAGCAACCCTGAAGTGTTTCAGAGACTGCAAATCTTCGCAGGAGCAGAAAGTCTCATCTTTCTCCCTCAGCTGAGTAACAGCCTATGCTATACAGATTATTGGCGTCCTGGTGTGGCGCTGTAGGATAAGCACTCGACCGCAAGGCTGGTTTGAACCACAAGGTCAGCGGTTCAAATTCACCTAGCTGCTCCTCAGAAGCTCTATACGGAGTCACTATGAGTCAGAACCAACTCAATGGTACTTAGCAACAACATATAGATTATTATTTTAAACTAGTTTAAGCTACTGTGACATAGATGGCGTTCTGATGTGGCACTGTAGGATAAGCACTCAACCACAAGGTCGGTTTGAACTCATCTGCAAGATGAGGCTTTCAGAGCCTTGGGAACGCTACACAGATTCTGCTATAAGCCAGCATCAACCTGATGGCAGCTGTTTTGAAATGATGTATAGATATATACTCTATGTTGTTGTCGCTGTTAAGTACCTTCAAATTTGTTCCGAATCATAGTGACCCTTCAAAGGGTTTACGAGGCTGTGCGTTTTGTGGGGAAGAGAAAGCCTCATCTTTCTCCCACGAAGTGGCTGGTGGGTTTGTAGTCAGAGCCACGGTGCTCCCCATACACTCTCACCCTGTTGTTAAGTGTCGCTGAGTTGGTTCCGACTCATAGTGACCTCGTAGAGGGTTTCTGAGGAGCAGCTGGTGAGTTTGAACCACGTACCTTGCAGTTTAAACTGACCTTTTGGCCCATTGCTTATCTGCAGTGCCACATCCAAACTCCATATACTTTGTAATAATTGTTACATTCTTATAACATATTCAGAAAAAACGAGATTCTTAGACTTTTGCACCTAGATCATATTGTTGCTGTTCAGAATATAAGCATGGATACACAGCTGCATTTTACCAAGAGCAGGGCTTTTGGAGTATGAAGTCCAAGCCCAATGATACCTGTATCGGTAGTAAGAAACCAGCATTCTCTCTCTGACTTCTCCTTCAATTTTCTGGTCGATGACCAGCAGCATAACGCCGTATAAATACAGTGCTTCACACTATGAAGAGAACAAAACAAAGGCCGCAATAGCAGGCACATCCACTCTTAGGGAGTAAAGCTGATTATGGGTGAAAAAAAAAAGAGAATCAATGTGTTGACATTCCCCCTAAAAGCTTGATGTTGCAGGAAAGTGCAGGTTCCCCAAAGGGCTCTCACTTGCTGCACAGGATGGGCTTGCAAAAGTTCATGCAAAATACACTTGAGTCCTCAATGATTATCTTCCTGTGGGCACATTTTTGGTATCTGGCTTGGGATAACAACATGGAATCCCACCAGAAGAACCAGACGGTACCTGGCTACCACTACCAACTGCTCAGAGGGGATCAGGTTAGAGGGTCCCGGAGAGAGTGGGAGAAAATGTGGAACAAAACTCAAAATTATTTAAAAAAAAAGACCGGCTTGACTGGTCAGAAAGAGACTTAAGGAAGCTGAAACTATGGTCCTGAACCACCATTCTGGTCTAGAAAGGAACTCAACCTCATGGCTCAGTTTTCAGCCAAGCAGTATAGAGATACACAGTGGGGACAACAGCAGTAGTAAGGTTAGTCACTGAAAAATCAAAAGGGCCACCTTTCCATAAGGACAAAGGTGAAAAGGGATGGGAAGGTGGGTGGAATGGGGAAAAAAAAAAAAAAAAAAAAAAGCACAGGGAGGAAGCGGGTAACTGGTGTTGCATGGAGGGTATTGTAATCACTGAGATGCAACAGTGTGTGATGTGCTAAATATAACTGAGGATTCTGTCTGTAAACCGTCACTCAATTCACAATAAAAAGCTTACAAAAATGAAACCCTACTATTATAAATTCCCTAAGGACAAAGGTGAAAAGGGATGGGAGGGTGGGTGGAACGGAAATAGGAAGCACAGGGAGGAAGCGGGTAACTGGTGTTGCATGGAGGATATTGTAATCACTGAGATGCAACAGTGTGTGATGTGCTAAATATAACTGAGGATTCTGTCTGTAAACCGTCACTCAATTCACAACTAAAAGCTTACAAAAATGGAACCCTACTATTACAAATCTCTCCTCATCATAAAGCGGTTCACATAGTAAACACAATTTCCTCAATGGTCACTGTCTATTGGGTACCAGGCCAGGATAAAGATGGGGTTGTTGGCCAGGGCTCTGTATGCACTGTGACTGAAAAGCAAGAGAAGCAATGCCAGGTTTGATGTTCTGTTGTATGGCCAGTTACTTACTAAAAGTTGTTTTCCATCTTCATTGAGAAGCACAGTTTCTAAGGTTTGCTGAATATAAACACCTTCATGGAGGTCATCTAGATATCTAGAAATGAAACCATAAAGCAAGCCACTCACTAACAATGGGAACATTAACAGAGCATTTGTGCTGATAATGGAAATGCTAACAGTTTTGAGAACAGTACAGATTTTTTTTTAACGACATGGAGAACATCAGGTATTTTGGTCTCTGACTAACTTCAGTTCCTTCATGCACTTCAGAATAGGGTCTCATGAACAGAAATTCACAAGGATTTTTTATATTTATGGCTAATCCAACTCAAAAGACTATTTCCTAGTCCTGACTGATGAACTGAGAGTACCTTAGGAGTAATGGCATTAAAGGAGTCCTGGTGTTGTATTGTGGAATAAAGCACTGGACCACAAGGTCGCTTTGAAGTAAAAGGTTGGAAGCACAAACTCACCAGTTGCTCCTTGGGAACCTTATACAGGGTTGCTATGAGTCAGAACTAACTCGCCAATACTTAACAATGACAACGACAACGACATTAAAAAGCAAATTCACTGCCATCAAGTTGATTCTGACTCGTAGCGACCTATGAGTCTTCACAGGAGCAGGTCATCGCCTCTTTCTTCCACAGAGTGGCTGGTGGGTGTGAACTGCCAACCTTGTAGTTAGCAGTCCAGTGCTTATCCTACAGCGCCACCAGAGCGCTTTATACCAGAGAATATTTAATAATGAGTCCTTAAGAGCTTTAGAATAGAAAGGAAGTCAGCTGCAATAAATAACTTATCTGTTCACTTCTCATATGTAAAACTTTGGTGTCAGGTGCTGTCAAGTTGGTTCCAACTCCCAGCTACCGTGTGCACCACAGAATGAAAGCCAATCATAAAGGACAGGATTGAAAGCCATATGATTTCGCATAAACCAAAATTAGTATGCTATTTCCCAAGAGAAAGGAGCTGATCATAAAAGTCTAAAACACTTAAGAAGACCAGTATCACAGGAAGCAGACAACAAGTAGGTTGGATATATGCTAGTCAGCTGTGTAGACACTCAGAAAGATGCATGCCCCTGGGGTCCCTTCTCCCTCCCCACTCAGGAGGACCAGCAGCAGCAATAACTAAACGAATCAATACCTGTTTAAGTCTACAATGTACTTATGCACACTTTGAAATGCTAGATAGAATCTGGTCACAATCTCGATGTTGTTTTCACGGAATTCTTCATCTAAATCCTGCAGCTCTGGTTTAGCTTCCAGTTTGTTTTCGCATGACTCTGGACCCTAAGAAGGAAAACATCATGATGGGCAGGGTCAGTCAAAGCATATTTGCTGGTAACAATGTCTAGATAAGTCTTTTCAACATTTGTTCTTACACTTTAAAAAGACTATAGAAAGTATTTGAAGCGGAACAATAGAAAGTAATGAAGGCAACAGAAATCTAACCAGAAGAAACTCAAAGAAAGAAATGTGTGAACTGCAACCAACATGAACATGTATTTAGGGGTGGGGCACTTTAGTTTGAAATGTATTATTCCGGTTATTATTTTTTAACATGATTATACTGTGTTAGGGCTTCCACACAACACTGGTGTCTCACTTTCAAGTTGTTGTCGTTAAGTACTATCGAGTTGGTTCTCACTCACAGTGACCCTGCACAGGGTTCCGGAGGCTGCAAATCTTTACGGGACCAGAAAGCCTTATCTTACTCCCGTGGAACAACTGGTAGTTTTGAACTGCCGACCTTGAGGTTAGCAGCCTGATTCATAACCACTACGTTACCAGAGCGCCTTACTTTCACCTTAGTAGCGGATATTAAGTTTGGTTCAGAAGCTTTGCTCTTTAACTCTTTCTCCAAAACCACTTAAATGTCTTAGCCTCACGGTTCCCAAACAAAGCGTGCGTGAATAGAAAATGCAGTTGTGAAAAATGTGGTGGAGGCGGGTTACCTTAAAATAGCTGAAATCAAATATGATATCCCCATATTTCTGTTGGTCAGCTCGGTCTTTTAACCTGAACACAGCAGGGATAAACTCCGAGAGCCTCAGAAGTTCAGCGATGATGGCATTGCCACAGGAAACGATCCTCAGAATGGCTTGGCCACAGAGGTTGTTCTCAGCCAGAAAATCCAACATGGTGACGATGGCGAACTAGTCCGTGCTTCCTTAGTGAATGCTTAGCTGGCTTCAGAAGAGGAGCCTGTAGCTCGTGAGATGAAGCCAGGCCCGCTCATACACTGGCTGCCCCATTAGAGAACCTATATCCAAAAAGCAGAAAACCATAATTTTTTTTAAAGGAAACGTGTCCACATATATGCAACAAACATAAAAATTATCTCCCAAACTCATTCAATTTTTTTTTTTTTTTTAACACAAATAGGGAATTCTGATCTGGAACTCAAAGAGCACTGACGGTATAGTGGGCTATGCATTGGGCTGCTAACCACAAGGTCAGCAGTTCGAACCCACAAGTCACTCCACAGGAGCAAGATGAGCTACCTGCTCCCATAACGATTTATACTCTTGGAAACCCTATGAGGTATTTCTATTATGTCCTCTAGGGTCGCTGTGTGTCAGAATCGACTTGAAGGGGGTGAGTTTAGTGGGCTATGGAACTCATGTTTTTCATGGGGGGCACTCTTGGCCTTTCTCAACCTTTTACATACCTCTCCCCATGAGCAAAGATGTGATATAGCTGATCTCTGGGCTCAGGAAAAGGGCGGCTTGAATATCCCCTCAGCTGCCCGAGCTGTCCCCTACTGTTTGACAGGTTAGGAAAGCATCACAAACACTATCAACAAAGGTGGGAGAAGCACCCCTATATGTTACTTTCGGGCATTTGCCCAGTTCTTTACTGAAGACAGACTTGTAGGGATACAGCATAAACGTGTTCAAGACTCCAGTAAAGAGTATAAATGACAGGTTGGGCAACATGCTGCGAAGATGGTTTATTACTGTCAACTCAGCGTGGTCCACATGTCTCCTATAACTGAGCAGTTAAGGTTTAGCACTGTTGGTGGGATCCGTTGCTTGGATTTGGAAGCAGGTAAGGACAAGGGTCAGAAATATGCTGAAGACTGTCATGACGGCTAAGAGCCTACAGGCTTTTTAAGGTGAGGCTTGATTGCCTTCATCCAAGCCCTCCTGGCTGAGCACCTCTCTGCCAACTGTAAAGATGTACAGGCAACTCCTGGGTCTCAAACCTGGCTGCATCACAGACTCACTGGGATCTTGGGGCTTTTGGGTAAGTAGGTTAGAGACGGTCACAAGCATCTCTATTTTTAACAAGTTCCCTGGATGGTTCAGATGAAATTGAGAAAGACTAGTCTTGTGGAAGATTACAGGAAATAAAAAGGAAAGGATTTATTCATTTCTGTATCCTCTGTGTTTTAACTCATTCCCTGGCACTGACATATATGACAGTCATGTAAATCACAACACAAGGGACAGAAGAGAGGAGCCCTGCCACCTCCCCACCCCCAGCCAGCTGCCTGCAATACAGCTGGGAGAAAAGCCCCAAAGGAAAAGTCAGAGAAAGAGATCTTCGAAGACCTTGAGTGTGTGGTCATTAGAAAGCAATACCAAGGGTGCAGCAGTCACTGAATTGTCACTGTGGCCCCTTCATGTTTTAGCATGAAACCCACCCACTGTCATAGGGGCAATTCCAACTCCTAGAGCCCCTATGGGACAGAGCAGAACTGTTTCTTAGAGTTTGAGACCACAAATCATTACAGGTGCAGACAGTCTCATCTTTCTCCTGCAGAGTGGCTGGTGGGTTTGAACCCACCTTGTGGTTAGCAGCTGAACTCACTGCACCACCAGGGCCCTTTACTTTTGAGCATGTTGTTGTTGTTAGGTGCTATCGAGTCAGTACCAACTCACAGTGACCCTGTATAGGGTTTCTATGGAGCAGCTGGTGAGTTTGAACCACTGACTTGTGTGGTTCAAACTGACCTTGCGGTCCTGCACTTTATCCTACAGTACATAAGTGATCTTTAATACAGTGGCCTCTCCTAGGAATTCAGGATTAGAGGAGGAAACTCAGAAGTTATAAAAGAAACACATATTTTAGTATATTAAACTTAAAACTTTCTTATGGCAACAAACTTTGAAGAGGGCAGATGGAGGGTGGATTTTTAAAATTCACAATGCAATCTGACAGGCTGGTCAGAACAGAGCAAAAAATCCAGAGATATATAAGGGGAGTCCACAGATGTGTGATCCAAATGACAAACAGATGTATGAAAAGAGCCTTAACTTGAGAGCAGTTAAGGGACTACAAATCAAAGCCACTGTTACAAATCACTTCACATGCATTGTTGTTGTTAAGTGCTGTCAAGTAGATTCTGACCCACAGTGACCCTGCATAGGGTTTCCAAGGTTGTATATCTTTACAGGACCAGAAAGCCTCATTCTCCTCCTGCAGAACCACTGGTAGTTTCGAACTGCTGACCTTGAGATTAGTGCCCAATTCTTAACCATTGGTGGTGGTGGTGGTGATGTGCCGTGGAGTTGGTTCTGACTCACAGCGACCCTGTACAGGGTTTCTGAGGCTGTGTATCTTTACGGGAGGCAGAAAGCCTCATCTTTCGCCCATGGAACACTTGGTAGTTTCGAACTGCTGACCTTGTGGTTCATAGCCCGATTTGTAACCACTATGCTACCAGAGCTCCTTAATGTATAAACATGAGGTTGGCAATAATTATAAAGCCTAATAACATCTGCACCAGGTAGGAACGTGAGAATACATTATTGCTGGATTCATGAGAGCGATTAGTGGGAAAGTAAACCAACATCAATCAAATTGAAAAATATATACTCTTTTTGATTTAGTGTCTCATGCCTAGAAATTTATCCCTGTGAAATAAGCAAAACCAATAACCAAACTCAGGCCATCGCGTGGACTCCGACTCACAGTGACTGTGTACAGGGTTTCCACGACTGTAAAATCATTAAAGGCGCAGATAGCCTCATCTTTCTCCAGTGGAGTGCAAGGTGGGTTTCAATAGCTGTCTTTGAAGTTGGTAGTCCACTTCTTATCCTACAGTGCCACTAGGGCTTCTTGCAAGAAATAAAAGCAGCAACATATAAAGAAGATACAGGTCCCAGAACATTTCCTGGAGCATTGGTGGCTATCTGACAAAAATCTGAGGACAAGCTGCCATTAAGTGCTGTCGAGTCATTTGTTACTCATAGCGACCGTGTATAGGGTTTTGAAGCAGTGGCTGAGGGGCTTGAACTTTAAACTTTTGGTTAGCAGTCCAGTCCTCAGCCTATATGTGCACACCATGGCAAAATAAATATCCATTAATAAGGCAAGTGAGATTTAAGCAGTCATTAATAAGACCGCACTAGTAGCTCTCTATAGGAGAGTATGAATCAGAGTCTCCTGTGGCATCCACATTGATCTTTTTCTTTCTTTCCTGTCTTTTAATGACCCTTAGCGTAGTGGACTATAAGCTGGGCTGTTAACCTCCAAGTTGGCAATTTGCAACAACTAGTCGCTGCATGATGGACCTCTGGTAGTGTAGTGGTTACGAATCGGGCTGCAAACCTTAAGGTCAGCAGTTTGAAACTACCAGCCGAAAGATGAGGCTTTCTGCTTCCGTAAAGATTTACAGCCTCAGAAACCCTGTACAGGGTCGCTATGGATCGGAACCAACTCGAAGGCACTTAGCAACAGTTGCTGCGTGGGAGAAAGATGAGGCTTTCTGCTCCCGTAATGATTTACAGCCTCAGAAATCCTATACAGGGTCGCTGTGAGTCGGAACCAATTCCACGGCACACCACCAGGCTTTCTGCTCCTGTAAATATTTACAGCCTGGGAAACCCTATACAGGGTCATTATGAGTTGGTACCGTTTACATGGTACACCACCACCACCACCATTTGTGTGTAATTGTTTTGGTGTACAAATCAACATATCACAGCATCGCAGAGTTGCCCTTGTGTCTTCTGATTATCTTCTATATCACAGAGACAGCCTGTGGTGTAGTGACCTATTTATTTAATATGTCTCTTCTAGCCTGAGTCTGTAATCCCACCAAACAACTCTTTCCTGATGGGTCTGGGGAAGAGACAGTAGGAGAAGATACTGACAGGTGATATGGTTTAGTTGTAAGTGATTGTTAACGGGGTGAACAATGAGTGTAAAACTTGAAACTCTAACATGGGGCTAAAACGAGCCATCTCAGAAGCAGGAGAGAGGATCTCAAATCCGTCAACGATGAAGAGCCATGGATTAGACGTACCCTTTGGACATTGAGATACATGTGCCTTGAACCTCCTTGACCCAGGGAGACACCGGAGGAGCAGCAGCAACAGAACCAAGAACCAGAGCACAAGACAGAGTGGTGAGCTTCCAGCCCACTGAGCCAGTAAAGCTTTGGGCAGGGAACTTGCATGCAGAGTGGAGTGCCTCCAGACTTAATTGGAGAAGCTACGTTTGCTGAACCCAGGACCTTCAGGCTGAGGTTTATGATGGAGAGTTGCATCATGTAGACAGTTCTCAGCAGCTCTAAAAGAGCTTTGTAACATTGTGGGAGCAGGGCACAGGTCAGACCAAGGGGTTGAGGACCAGAGAAAGGCCTGCCTGTGGGCACAACAGATGAGACGCTGTCCTGACTGGAAGAACTGTGCCATGAACATACTTAAGCCTGTGGCCCTGCAGGTTAGTGCACTGGACTGCAAAGTCGGTATGAACTCAAGGCTGGTGGTTCAAGCTCACGAGCCACTCCTCGGAAACACTATACAGGGTCGCTATGAGTCAGAACCGACTCAGTGACACTTAACAACAACAATTCCCTTAA